TCATGTACAAGTGCCTGGTAAAGACTCTCATCTTTCACCCTTTCTTCCCACTGTGCCAAGTATACATTAATGGAATGATATCAGAATGGTGGAAATATGGTGTAACTTTTGTCCTGAGCAATGACAGGCTTTTTAATGTGCAGATTGAAATAATGCATCAGAATAAGAAACATGTTCCAGAAGCTGATTTATGTATTATTAAAAGATAACTTTGTCACTCCTGTGCTGGAAGAATACTGACAGTAAGGAGGAAATCCTACTGCAGATGCGTTTGGCAGTTGTTCAACAAATGAGACGGGAGAGGAAAAAGGGGCAAGTAGAAAAAAAATGTGTAGGTCTTCTTTAAGCTATCAAGAAGTTGCATGACAAATGCTATCTGATTACAGATACCCACTTCTTTATTTTAGTTTTTTGAACAATTTGATGAAGATGAAATTGGAGCCTTGGATAATGTGGAGTTAGAAGGCTATATTAACACAGACAATGCTCGGTTGCAGGAAGTCCTGAATGATTACTACAAAGAGAAAGCAAAAAAGTATGTATTCCCAGAAGGACTGCTTCACATAAGTAGTTATGTAATCCTGTGTTTATACTGAAAGTTTGAGTATGTTGTTTCCAGTTCATGTACTCAAAGATTACATCTCACAGTAAAAGCAGCTACATATGAGTATTATCATTTTTTTTATGTCACTGAATGTCGATCTTAACTTATGAGTTGATACAGTTAAGTGGAGGGATTTTGTTGGTTTATGTGAGATTATGCTCCTTTTGTATAATTGTATTGAATTTAGTATAAGTAATTTCTAGAGGCATTCTTCCTTTTCCTTTTTAGTGTAATTTGCCTTTCTCCTTATACCTTACTTTTGTGTTTAACAGACTCTAGCCAAGTATATTCTGTCTCACTGGTATGCAGTTGATTCCAGTATATACCTAGTTACATGACCATAAACTCGCAGGGGACTGTTGCATGGGTCCCACTGTTTGGAGCACTGCAAAGCCCAGTGTTTATAAAGCAACCCCGTGTCAGTGTAAGACTGCATTTCCACAGTATATTCACTTTGTCTTAAAGTGGGTGATATTATCCCAAAGTTAAATGGCTAGATGTTCTCACGTTAGTCTTGTGTTTCCTGATTGAAAGATACAGTACTGTGTCCCTTGTAGTGAAAGATGACTGGTCAGTAGTAGAGCACATAATCCCCTTTAGAGCTGCCTTGCTTACGGACCAAAAAGTAAAGCCTCTTCTCTTCCTGCCCTCCAGTCACAAATATTGTGTGCCACATACTTTTCAAATGCAGAAATACTGCTTTTGTTGACTTAATGTCTCTTGTCCTAATGTTTTAGTTTATTTTGGGGCTGCTTACTTAATGAAATATGCAGGAAAGTTTCCTTGGGAATAGCTTTCTTTGGTTTGGGATTTTACTGAGGGGAGACTGGGTTTACTTTATGTCCTAGTTTCAGCTGGGATAGAGTTAACTGTCGTCTTAGCAGCTGGTATGGTGCTATGTTTTGAGTTCAGTATGCCAAGAATGTTGATAACACTGATGTTTTCAGTTGTTGCTAAGTAATGCTTAGACTATAGTCAAGGATTTTTCAGCTTCTCATGCCCAGCCAGCGAGAAGGCTGGAGGGGCACAAGAAGTTGGCACAGGACACAACCAGGGCACCTGACCCAAACTGGCCAAAGGGGTATTCCATACCATGGGACATCACATCTAGTATAGGAACTGGGGGGAGTGGGGGCGGGGAATTGCCGCTCAGGGACTAGCTGGGTGTCAGTCGGCGGGTGGTGAGCAGTTGCACTGTGCATCATTTGTACATTCCAATCCTTTCATTGTTGCTGTTGTCATTTTATTAGTGTTATCATTATCATTATTAGTTTCTTCTTTTCTGTTCTATTAAACTGTTCTTATCTCAACCCATGAGTTTTGCTTCTTTTCCCAATTTTCTCCCCCATCCCGCTGGGGGGAGGGGGCGGTGAGTCAACGGCTGCGTGGTGCTTAGTTGCTGGCTGGGGTTAAACCATGACAACGTAATTGCACATTTTCAAGAAAAGATAAACCTTATCTTTTTTCTTTTCTGGACTTCTTCAAAGTTGTGTGAAATTGGATGCTCTTGAACCCTGTGATGATTTAGACTCTCCTGTGAATGAAGAAAGTGAGGAGGAAAAGGAAGAAATAGTAGCTGTAGTTATTGAGGAACAAAAAGAAAAGTGGGATTGTGAATCCATTTTGAGTAAGTATTCTGGAGTTTGCTTGTTTGTTCCTAGGATTTTGAAGTAAATGATAGGTGATCTCAGAACTTTTCTAACAGTACTTTAGGTAAAATGGTTTATTCTTGTGGTGCACAACAGCAGGAATTTCCAAAGACTAAGTAGTAGTACAATTCATAATAAATTTACCTATTTCTATTTGCAAGCCTTTCTTCCCTACTTTTTTTTTTTTTTTTTTTTTTGGTGACCTAGGTACATATTCAAACTTATATAATCACCCAACACTTATTAAGGAGCCGTCAAAGGTAAAATCATTAAACTTATTCTGAATAACACCCTGGCCTGGGAAAACTTGAGACAAAAGTGATTGTTTTCTCAATGGATATCTGTTTTTAAAAGAAGGACAGAGCAGAAAAGAGGGTTGGGGAGGGTGTTAGCTTCTGGTATTACTTCTTCACTGAAGAAGGGTTTGGAAAGTTGAGTAAGTTCAAAATCATTGTAATAGCTAGGCAGAAATGTAGAGAGCAAGGAATTTACTTTCTTATTATCTGTGATATATCTTTGTGTAATCTATGTCTCGCAACCACTTCTTAGATTTTTTTTTTTCTTGAAAATAGGCTACTTCCCTTCTACAGTTTGAAACAATTTATTGTAGTTCTTTGGCCTTCCAGAAATTCCCCAGTATTAGAGCACAGCTTGATGTTCAAGATTTTGAAAGGAAACATTTATCTTGAAAGCTTATAAAGCCTACTTAAGTTATTCTTTTTCAGTAATATTTAAATAAAAGGGAGAAATTTTTTTCTTGTTCTGGGAGGCCATATTCTGTTCACAGGTGTGTTTGATTTCTTACTTTGGGAGTAATACCATTTTTCTGAGGGAAGAAAACGGTATGAGGAAACTTATATGTTTATTACTGTTAAATCTGAATCTAATGTTTTTATACTGATAAGGCAGTGCGATGTGCACTTCTTGGAGAGAAAGTTAGGGACCATTAATACATATGCACTCTCTATTTTAGCCCAAACCAATAAAAATTTCCCAGAAGACTGGAATTCCTCTACATATCTTGCCTCAGAAGGGTCTTACTGCTAAGCAGATTGAACGCATGCAAATGATTAATAGCAGTGACCTGCCAAGAGCATCAACACAGCCCCGTTCCAAAGATGAGAGCAAAGAGGATCGCAAAGCTAGAAAACAGGCTATAAGAGAGGAGCGAAAGGTACGCCTTACTTTAAATAAAACCCTGCAAAAACATGTTATGTTATCTGAATTCTGTCTTATGAACATTTTTTAAAGCTCACTTGTTCTTGTGTCTGGAAATTAATGGGAAAAACTTGCTGGTCCCAAAGGACTAATTGTTGCTTCTTTAAAGAAAAAAAAATCTACTGGAAAAAAAGTTACGGTCATAATTTTGTCATCCTAATTTCAATATGGAAATTTGGGGTCTGTTATTGTGGCCACTATTACATATATAACTCTAATTTTCTTATTATCTAGGGAATCAAAGAAAACAGTTATGATGTTTCAGATCATGCAAAGTGAAAATTGTCTGAAAGAAATGTGGAAAATCTAATTGGCCACAGTGATATACGGGTTGTTTTATTTAGGAACAGAAATTGCCAAATTGCCAGAAGCTTGAGCTAATTAAAGATTATAATCCTGGTGGTATGCATATTAGTTTGACTACTAATAATTAGTGCCATAAATAGTATTATTGTCCAGATTGCTGCTGTTTTCATGATCTAGAACTGTTAATTAGAATGATTTCTTTTTGCATGTTATGCCTATTTTGTAAATTTGTAATTATTTGTATGCACAGGAACGCAGAATGGAGAAGAAAGCCAACAAGCTAGCCTTCAAATTGGAGAAAACAAGGCAAGAAAAAGAGTTGCTTAATCTGAAACAAAACGTTCAAGGACTGAAGCTGTCTTGATAAAACTGAGGAACTTACTGTGGAAACATCATTGAGTTTTCATTCATATTGAGAAGGGAACTGCTAACTCATACCTTTGCCAGTCATGCCTAAAGGGGGTTATTCAGATATTACTGTACCAAGAACCAGCAACTTGTCATTCTTTCTGAAATGAAGTTATACATAAAACAATGTATTAGTGATGTCTATTCTGTCATGAGTGACATGGCTACTATTGCAAAGTTTCATTACTGTAGAAATGTTTTAAAATGATAAAAAATTTTCTTACAAGCTATCACTGCAAAAGTTTTATATATGTATTTGTTGAATGTATTCAGCAAATCAGCAGAATCCTACAGATTTAATCTGATTAGATTCTTCTATTAAATTATTTCAGTTTACAAAGCAATATATCCATTTATGTCTTCTCTCCCTTATACTGATGGTTAGATATAGTGCCTTGATATAGCACAGTTTTGCAAGTTGAGGAGTTTTCACCCACTCCTTAGTTCTTTTCGGGGTTGGTTATTTATTGTTTGGGTAGTGTTACAAAAGATGTAGAATAACTGTGTGATTTACATCTAGATTCACATCTAGATTAAGCCTTAATTGTTCAAGAGTCTGTGTCAACCAGGTCAGTAGAAATTTTCTGTAAGATAAGAACAAGTTTCAAGGTTTTAATTTAGCTGGTATCAGTACTAGTCCTCTCATGTTCCACAGGCTTAAGAAGGGTCTGCCTGTGTCATAATTGTTAATTATGTAATTGCTGATGCATGGTAACTTGAATTGAGAGCTTTTGAGTAATGAAGGCTGACCACCTAGTACTCGTGACTCTTGACAGCAGTGCAGAAGAAGAAATTTGAGAAGCCATTCTATTGGGATGAGTCAGATACCAGGAAAGGAGTTAAATGGAACATGTGAGTAATAGATGCTGTTCAGTGGTTTGAGTGGAATGTGATTTTGTGATTTACTGAAAAGGAAAATCTTTACTAAAGATGGTGCACTATGTTGTTTACTAGTCCTTAACTCGTGTGCTGTTGTACATGTTTAAAGTAACTAATCTCTGGCAAATAGTCCTTTCCTGACTTCTCATTGCTGATTCCATGATACTGTCCTTGTACATAAATTCCTTTAAAAAAAAAAAAAAAAAAAAAAAAAGCTGTACCAGTCAAAACCTTGAGGGGTTGAGAACAGAATTAAAGAGATGGGGGAGGCAGAGGAAAATGCTTGAAAGGAAGAGTATAGTCCAGACTAAGCACAGGCACACAGAAAGATGTTGCTTGGGAACAAAAGTGGAAAGACATTTAAACAGAGGCAATAGAGTAAGAGTCAAAAAGGTTATAGAATTGTTTTCTTCCTCCACACTTGTAATCAATGAAACACTGTAGTAACTTTAACTCTGTGCCTTGGAGTATGGTAAAATCTGAAGGAAAAGGTAAGAAACAGTCACACATCTGCTCAGTAAGGCAAGAATTTCTTTTGTTTCAGCAAGAGCAGGTAAGGACCACTTAAATGAGAAGTCTCCCTCTTGTCAGTTACAATTCTTGTGAAAAAGGCTCTCTGTTATTGTTCAAGTTTTCCTACAAGCTGTTTTTGTTTAATACAAGTAATGGACTGTCATGGTTTAACCCCAGTCAGCAACTAAGCACAATGCAGCCGCTCACTCACTTCCCCCTCTCCCCCCACCCAGTGGGATGGGGGAGAGAATCGGAAGGAAAAAGGTAAAACTCGTGGGTTGAGATAAGAACTGTTTAATAGAACAGAAAGGAAGAAAATAATAAAGATAACAATAATAAAATGACAATAGTAATAATAAAAGAATTGGAATATACAAAAGAAGTGATGCACAATGCAATTACTCATCACTTGCCAACCAATGCCCAGTTAGTTCCTGAGCAGCGATCCCCCCAGCCAGTTTATATACTGGGCATGACGCCACATGGTATGGAATACCCCGTTGGCCACTTTGGGTCAGCTGTCCTGCCTGTGTCCCCTCCCAGCTTCTTGTGCCCCTCCAGCCTTCTTGCTGGCTGGGCATGAGAAGCTGAAAAATCCTTGACTTAGTCTAAACACTACTTAGCAACAACTGAAAACATCAGTGTGTTATCAGCATTCTTCTCATACTGAACCCAAGACATAACACTGTACCAGCTACTGGGAAGACAATTAACTCTATCCCAGCTGAAACCAGGCCATGTCCCTGCTCTGAAATGAGAACATGTGACTGCCACTGGAATCAGGCTTCAAACTACTTTCCATGTAACTTAAAAACCTATTTTTTTCAAAAAATTACTGATTTAAAAACAAAAAAATGCCCACAAACTTGAATCTACAAGGTAAGATCATCTTGGAATGCTGTTTAAGCTCGCCATGGAAACATTCTGTCTTAAGAATGAAGATTGTGTTACACTTAAGTGTGCCACCTGCCACTTTCTGGAATAGCAATGGTTTTTACCCTGAGCCATTACTTTGCACCACCAGCTCCTGATGACTTACAGACAGAATAGAATAAATCTGGGTGCAGATGGCCTGCTTTTGCTTCCCAGCCCCGCTCCCTGAATTTAGGCAGTGATGAACTTGAATACTCTTCCATCACCTCCTCACCCAACCATGATGTCATTGTGAAAGGACATACCTGAGCAGTCATGTGGAAAACAAAAAGGTGTCCATCATAGTAAAGGAGAGCTTGTGCATCACAGGAGCAAGATAAATAAGGTAGGTTTGCAAAAGGGAGCCCTGGCACGTGACTGTAGATGTCCCTTTCTGACAACAAAATACTGTTTCAGCAAGGGCTCAGTCCAAACGCTGACTCTGCTGTAGCGAAGCCATCCTGTACCGTGTAACTGAGACTCTTGCATGCTTTGAATCTTACACAGCTGCCCAAAGTCAAGATCTGGCTCCTTGTACAACCTGTGGAAGACATTTTGCACGAGATGTTCTGGTAAAACAAAACTTTTTTTTTTTTTCTTTTTAATGTGAGTGTCAATGTGTTTAGCTGAAAGGGGTGGTGAGCACAGGGGAAGGAGGAGGTGGCTGCTAGTAGAGAAATGGGTTGAACATGTGTTTAAAAGAGCAAATGATCTGATTTCATTAGTGAACTTGATTAGAGAATTAATGAATGTGCACAGAAATATTGTGACTTAATCTATAATCTTGCACTATCTGAATTTACCTGCTTGTCCAAAACCAGATGTTTACTACAGATTGCATTTAAAATAACATATTATCTCTTGGTGAGACATAAATTACTAACCTAAAGCTTCCTTTGTGTTCCGGGTTTCTAGGCAGAATTTGTTCTTTCAGGCTTCCTGGGAAAAATAGACTAATAAACCATCTGATAAGTAGTCCCTTTGACAGCATAATGCGGGCACCAGGCTCTGTTCCAAAGCCTGCTGAAGTGAATGAAAAGATTCCCCCTGACCTCCCTGATCCCTGGATTACAAACTAAATGGGTGGCTGGCACAACCCAGCTGTGGGGTGTTCCTGCAAGGGGGGGGCTCTGCATGCACCCCTCCCCTCCTCAGTTTGCGTTACCGATCCTGTGGCTCTGTGGTAGATCAGGTCATCCCCACAATAAAACTAAAAACTGATTTAGGAAAAAAAAAAAAAGACAAGAAAAATACACTGGAAGCTGAGTGACTATGAGCACTGAGACTAAGGTGGAACTACCCTGTGTTAGTAGTTCCTTGTTTGGTATCTCAGACCAGATACATGAAGAACATTGATGGTTTAATCTAGCAAAATCGTTTGAAAAGACAGTTATCTATGTTTTGAGGAAGGCAGGGAGTTTCTTGTCACTATTACTACCGTGAGATACAAGTCCTGTAATGCCCTTCTGTGTCCCGATGATGCAGGACTGGTATCCTCCTCGGTGAGCAAGACACGGGTATCTGCTGCCCTCTTGGTCCTGCAGAGGAATCCTCCTCTCAAGTTTGCTGTCAAAAATGTCTAGAAACAGAAGTTAAGGATCTGAAGCAGTAGTACAAAAGAGAAGATGTAGCTTTGTCCTCACTTTCACAGTGTTCCTCGCAAAGGGGATTGCTCACCCTGTTGCAGAAGACTGAGGTTGATGCTAAAATCTGAGACACTTCGGAATCTTAAAATCTCCTTTGTTGTGAGGCGTGGCTCTTTGACAAATTCAGCACTGGATATCTGTCTACCTAAAATTTCCCTGTGCTTTCAGCTGCAAGCGTTAGCCCTAGTTTTCCTTCTGAGTTGTCAGGTTAGCAGCTGCTCCCTCTCAGCCAGGGGCTGTTGCTGTTTCAGTGGTGTTGATGGGATGGACAGTGCTGCTGTTTGTCAGGGGAGTCCCTGGTCTGCAGTGCTTATCTAAACTCAAAGAACTAATAATGTAAATATCGGCCCCTTGAACAGTATCAGCCTGTTCTTCTTCTTAACCAAGAAAGAAAGAAAACCAAGTGTGGTGATGGTGGTGGGGAGCCCATCCAATGGGACTGTTCCTGTTCACAGACCCCGTCTGTTCTTCTCTGCAAGTCATTATTTGTGCTGGCCTCCAGCACATCCCTGAGCAGAACAAACTGGAAATGGCTTCTATTTCTTATTTGTGTCGAGCTGCAGCTGTACTTGGACAGCTTTTTAAAGTTTTGCCGAACTCCTTGAGGAGTTAAACTGAACCCGAAATAAATACTGCTTCAGCTCCCTGCTCCTGAACAGAAGTAATTTTAAAGCCTGAGTAAGGAAGCATAATTAACAAAGCATGACTTCAACACATAAATGACTGTTTTTCTTTGCATCCCAGCTGAGACACGACCCAATATGCAAGAAAGTCTTCAACAAGAAGCGCAAGCCCTTCAGCTCTTTGAAACAGAGACTGCAGGGAACAGAAATCACCGTGAAGAAACAGCCCCCACAAAAGGTATCGTTAAAACTGAAGCATGTGTGTTATCTCCATATGAAGTCTTTCATTCAGTAATGCTACTGTTTCTTCCGAGGACAAAGCCTGGATGTTGTGGATGAGTCTCACATATGTGCTTGACTCGGTGCCAAATTCTTTCCTCCCCCTCCCTGTGCTGTTAGGGTTTGAGAGTATATGAGAGCATTTCTCCATTCAGAAGCCAGACCAGTAGGTGTCATGACTACTCTGGGCACGTAAGTGTCTCTGCTCTTCTAGGAAATGTTTGTGTATGTATTTTAAAGACTATGCAAGTCTCTGACAGCTTCCTTTTCACTTAAATCTGAAAGACAGTGTGATCTAAGATGGTTGGTGCTTGAATGCTGCAGGTTGAACCTGAGACCTGTCAGTAGCCGCAAATCTTCCATAGATGAAGCTACAAAGATTCACTGCTGTTGAACTCAAGGGTTTAAAAATTTATTTAAATTGAACTTATTTACAAAGCTGGAGGGAAAGAGGCTTAAGCTCTTACTGGAACAAGGGGTTTTTCATGCATCATTGGGGAGGGGTGGAATATACATGGACATGCATGTGTATAATTTTACCCAGAGATGCCAAATCACTGCTGATTTGGTATCCATGCAGACTGCTGTTCTAAAATGTCCTCTAAAATCAGTTGTGGAAAGAAACAGAAATGTACAAAGGTTTAAAACAAGAAGAGGAATCTGACAAGTGGAGGAGAAGGGAAGGCGTCGGTCATAGTGTCTTTTCCATTCCCTCTTAAGTGCCCTTTGGTCTGCCAAGACCAGAGGGTTTTGCTGGAGTGCATTGTTTTTATCCATCTTCTGGGGCTGTCAATAGACAGTAAAGGGCTAGATCAGCTTCCCTGTGCCTTTCAAAAAAAGCAAATTTCTTTTGTTTGTAATGGTTTTCCTTTCCCTCAGAGAGGAAGAACCCTCACACTAAGATTTTTCTCTGTCCCTTGCAAAGGGGAAATACAGTTTGTGTTTTCCTTTATTTCCATTACAGAAACAGCCAGGGAAGAAATCTAACTGGAGGCAGCACCATGAAGATTTCATTAATACTATTCAATCAGCCAAGCAGGTCACAAAAGCTCTGAAGGAGGGCCACCCTCTTCCACCTCCTCCCCCACCAAGCATCAATCCAGGTTTGTGGTCTACTTTATCTTACTACTGTTCTTGTACTGATCTTTGGTAAAGCAATGACCTCTTATTACCCATGGCTGGGCTTCAGTTTTGTATCCCCTGGCACAACACAATGCAAACATTAATTCCCTCCATACTCTTTAATTTTCAGCTGTATTTCTTGGCTTAAATTGAGTAGGAGTGCAATGCAGAGGTGGTGGGGAGGAAAACTAACTGTACCTTTTGAGTTTAAAGGCAGCAAGTTTGGGGTCTGATATTAGATGCTTTGGGAGGAGAGTTGGGATGCCTGTGTTCTAGCATAGGCTGTACCACGGTATAACAGAGGGTGAAATACATCCCCTCACCATTCAAAAAAACTGTAGTGCCCATGGGCTTCTCCACTCCCATGTGGTGGCTTTTCCACTGTCCCCTTCCCCACCCAGCTGTGCAGGTAGGGAAAGTCATTTAGAAAAAGAGGAGTCTGGTTTCCTACTAATAGCAGGTGTGGTCTCTGCACAGAGCTCCCTGTGTTAGAAGTTATGGATCCAAAAAGATGCACATGCAGCCAATATTTCTCACGATATGTGATTTATGAAACGTGGGAGCAAAGGGTCTCAGTGGAGCCTTGCCTGCGTTAGGAAGGCAGAGGGCAGGAGGGGGAGGGGGGGCCTCTCTGGGCTCACTTCCAGAGCAGGAATTCATGACTGATAGCAAAACCAGCTGCCGTGATTCCATTCTTCTAGATGACAGCGATGCAGTATAAGCAGCAGGACACATCTTCCTTCCTTGATTGGGGTCAAGCTCCTCTCTGAATTTCCACTGCTGAATTCTTTAATGACTCTGTTATTTCTTGTCTGAGTCTGCTGACACTAAGAGCACACCCCTCCCTTTCCTTCTCCCCCTTGGAGGAAACCGAGCTGTGTAAGAGCAGCGGTAGTTGTGGAGAAAGGAATTGGAGAACGGCTTTTTAGGAAAGACAAATTGCTGAGGGGCCTAGTGAGGATATATATCCTATACTACAGGACTGGAGAGAAAGCATGTGGATTATGGGGAGGAGAGAGAGAGATTCCCCTTCCCTGTCTTCCTCCTCCAAATAGAGTCCAGAGTTCCCTGTTCTCCCCTGAAGTGCCAGGTCCCCCTGCCAGCCCCCTGAAGCCAGGCATCTGCCCTGGCTCCTCCTCCTCCTCCTCCTCTCCCCTGCATTCAGAACCATTTTGCCCACGCTGCTTGTCAGGAGCCAGCTTTTGGTGGCTGCTTGGGCCACCTTTTCTGGGCTGTTACTGAGAGAAACGATTTGTAAAGATGCTGTATCTGTAATACTAGGATAAGGACACTTGGACTGCTTTTGTAAAAGGCACTGGGCAGGGAGGAAGGATCTGAGAATGGCAAGGGCAGCGCGAGGGCTGAATGTGACTGCGTTGACCCCGAACACTGACCGCTCATTGAAACGAGTAGGACTGCACCAGCGATAAATGTCGCTGAATAGCTTTTAGGAGAATCAGGGCTGTGACGCTGTCATGAACAACTCTAGGAAGCACTGCTGTGTGTTCTTCACAATGCTGCTTCACAACCAGAAACCTGGTTCTTGGATGTGCCTTCAGCTGGCAGGGCACAACTTCTTCAGCAGTGTTTTGCCAAATAGCAATCTTAATGACCAATCTTCAAAAGTAGGCTTAAAAATCATTGGTTTGGACTACTCTGGAAACTTTTAAATAATGCTTTTTCTGCAGATTTGTTCATTGTGAGGTTGGGGGTGGGAATAGGACAAAGGTAATAAAACCTGCTTTTATTAATCCCAAGGGATTTATTTCTGAAAGCAATTACTGTCTGCTGGGTTAGTACCATGAGCATGTATTTTAGGATCCCAAGTGATTTTCTAGAGGTGTTTTTTGTACTTCTCCTAAGTTTGCACTTTGAGAGCGGACGGGAACTCAACGTGGTCACCTGCTGATGGAGCCAGGTTTCGAACTGCGTTTTGAGTGCTCCAGGAAAGCAGGGCAATTCTTCTCCTATAGTGTATAAACTGTGACCCAAGTTGTTCCTTTCTTATGGTCAGACTATATTCAGTGTCCACACTGCTCACGGAGATTTAATGAGGCTGCAGCACAGAGGCACATGAAGTTTTGTGAAGAACAAGCTGCTCGCCGTGCCTTTGCTGCAAAGACCACCGGGCAGGCTTTGGTAAGCAAACACAGTCACACTTGTCTTGTCGTGGAGGCAGATTTGCTAAACTGTAGTCTATGGTGAGTAAAGACCTATGTTAATATAAAACTTAAGATTCCAGGGAAGTTGGTAAAATCTTAAGATAAGATACATGTTGAGTATCAGCTAGGAGTTCCGTGAAATTGGAGCCCTTTGTCTGATATAAAAAGTGACAGAATGCGATAGTACAAAAAAGTTGAACAACAATTTCTTCAGACTCTTCTGCAATTGGATTCTGGGGTAACAACGGCTGTAGGGAAGCAGAAATCTGGCAGCATTTGCAATACATAAGAGAAAGCCCTTCCTGTTCATTAGGGCTCCCTGCTGTTGGCAGGTTTGCTGTTGCCTTCAAATGTATAGCTGATTTATTCCCTGGTCGCTAGACACAAGGCCAAAGGGCTAAGCCCCTTTGGGCAATCAGATAAGTGGAGCTAATTGGTAGTCGCTTGAGTGAGGTCCTATTTTATTACAGAAAAAAAAGATAATGTAAATGGTTCCTTTAGAAGAGTACTGATTTTCTTTCTTTTTTTTTTTTTTTTTTTTTAAGATCTTTGAAAATCTTACTACTCTTCTACCTATTTTGGGCAGGAAAAATGGCTTCCAGGTGGGAGGGGGTGCACATTTTTCCTGTTCCTTCCTAGCACTGCTTCAACAGCAATTTGGAGTTTTCACCAGGCTCCGTAAGCTCCTTGCTATTGTTGAGTGTGGATTGTGCAACTTCTTTTACTAGGGCAAGCAACCAGTGACTCCGAGAAAACCCCCAACCTTAACAACTGCTGTGTCACCGCTTCAGAAGAGAGTACGAGAAGGTGCTAATACAGACAAACCTAAGCCAGGTAAGGAGTTTATGTAGCCATATTTATCTTTTTCCTATAACAAACTCTGATGTATTTGAGGTGGGGGTGGCATTTTTAAAGCAGATTCTAGGCTTTGGAATCCAGTTTTCTGATAGAATAATAAAGTTTGAAATTTTTTTAATTCTTGTTTTTGCAAGTCCAGGCCTCGACATGAAATCCTAAACTCATTTCCGCACAACACTTGCTAGAAATGAGAAGTGTCAAAAATTTCCAGGTGGATGTTGCTGATGTTGAATGGCTTTCCAAGTCATTATCCTGATCTGTCGTGCTGAGTGTATACACAGAGGTTTTCATGTGGGTCCTCAGGAGGGACTTCTTAGCCTTTTCAATTAGAGGTCCTCCAACAGAAGTATCTATATAGACCTAAAACATGCAGTCTGGGTGTGAGGTTCCTTCTGTCCCATAGAAGACTCTATAACCTTTAATCTTTGCTTTTAAGATTTATTCCATCTTCTTTAAGTCCATGTAGTCCATCAAGCTTTGTATGTTGTTTGTTCCATATGACTTTCCCCTTGTTGATTCAGCCTTAAAGCTGCATCCCTGAAAGAGTTCCCTCTAAGCAGGATACCATATAACATGTTTGCTAACACCCACTGCTACCGGTAATCATGACCCGTACTCAGTCTATGTTTAGAAGATGTTTTATAAAGTTATTTTAATGGTTATGTCTAGTATAACCTGTGAATGATAATACATGCTGCTCTTTGTATCAGTATCTTTGATCCCTACGTTTCTGGGGTTTATGTTGAATTTAGGTAGGTTATAATTTTTTTTGGCCAATTTTCTTTTTTTTTTTTAAATGATCTACAGAGACCTCTCCAGGAATACTGCAGAAAACCAGAAAATCTTTGGGTCTATCTACTGGAAAAAAATCTTCAGGAGAGTTTGGGTAAGAAATATTTTTTTTATTTCAACATTATAACATAAAAGGACCTTGTTTGCTTTTGTGTATACACAATATCCTGTTGCAGTGTTTGCAGTATGAACTTCTTTGTATTAACTGAAGCGATCAATTGCACTGAAAACTTTCGCAGAGCTCCTCATGTCCCCAGCACAGCCTGCTGAGAATATTCATTTTGGTGTTAAATGTTCTTTGGTTTGGAGCAGTTCCATCTCGAGTAGGCAGTGACTGTGTTCTGCTGTTACAGGCATCTTGAGAGTATTTGCTGCTTGATAATGCAAACCTCTCTAACAGGTCTTGTGCTCTCACTATGCGCACCCATTGTCCGAGTGAGGAAGATGCCAGCATTTGTTTCAGTAGTCACTGTCAGGATGACAGCACGGAGGTTCATCCTTCTCCTCAGTGTTTTACTTTCCCAGACCAAGAAGTTCGGTTCTTCTGCTCTTCAGACCACGCAGTCGGTGCTGTTCCCATCTCGGGCCATGCAGAGCCATGTCAGAGCAGCAAGGCGGCCCTCCAGCCCCTGCCTAAGGTGGTTGTGGTGCTGTTGTGCAAGGGGATGGCTCAGACGATCGCCATCTTGCACCCCTGTGAGATGCGTACGACTGCACAATACGAGATCCTGGCAGGGAATATGGCCAAGACAGATTCCCTGTAGCTGGCAAGGTATCTTGAGCCTAGGAGATGAGCTTGTAAGAGTGCTTAGAGCGTTGGACGGACAGTCGCGTGCACAGAACAGTCTGTTGCAGAGACTCGTATTTGAAGTCTTTGCAGGGTCCTTCTACGTGGAGTTTTGTTGTCCCCGATTGCTGCTGGTCAGTGGCTAGGTACCTTCAACTCTGTGGAAGACTGCAACGGGCATGGGAGTGTTCAGTCCACGGTGCCATCGTCAACTCTACCTACCTCCCTGACTTTGCCAGCTACAGGATAAACTGTTGACAGTACCACTGGTCTCATTTGGTGTTCTCCACCATGACTATGTTAACAGTGTAGTAACACATATGGTTATGATGCAGGGTCTTGCAGACCACCAAGAGGGATTTATTGATACCATCACCATTCCCACAGTTTAGCCACTGAACTCTGAAACTCGGGGCTTAACAAGCCTGGGGAGGAGACACTTCTTTCCCTAGGGATGCTGGTGAGTCCAGGTATCACCTGGCTTGTAGCTGCAGCCAGCTGACAGAGGCTTGGGACTGGTGCCTCCAGCAGGTCCCCACGACAGACATCCACGCTAGCAGCCAAAATATAGGACAGAGTCATGTAAGTACCTGGGAACTGTGGAAGTGACTGGCCTGGGTGAGCTTGTAAGTGCTGGGCTGTTGGCAACTGCTGCTGCATTTTCTGTAAAACTTGAGCTTTGTCAGGTGCTTTACAGAGCACTTTGGGCTAGCAAGAGATCAGTTTCAGTGCTACCCAAGAGTACTCTTCAGCTGAGAAAGCAGACATAAGAAACTGGGTTTGAGTGGTGCAAATGTTCTCATCCTTAATGTGCCTGGAAATGGTTTCCAGGACGAGCTGCTCCATCACCTTCCCAGGGATAGACATTTAATATTCTTAGATAAAATGGAGTAAAATATAAAAGCTGTTTCAATACAAATAACAAGTATATGGCTTGTCACTGCTTTCAGACCACAAATGCGCAACAGAAGATAGAGTGGCTGGTCGTCAAGGATGTGTTAAGTTTTCCTTCTGACGCATTATGGAAGACTTTAAGCAACACAATTTTCCAGCACCTCTTCCACCTAAGCGCTACAGCTACCACATTCAATAAAATAAGCAAACTGAAGTTCACTTTTTTTTCCCCCTCTCCCCCTGGGTTACAAAGCTTATTATGCTGTCCTTTTTAAAGCTGTGAGAGTATTTTTACCAGTTGCCAAAATTCAATTAAATGATTGCCTGCAAGGGGATGGATATTACCAGTGGTTCATTCAGTCGTTTTAACAAAATGTAGGAAGATCCAGTATCATGTGATATTTCCCCCCCCCTAATGCTTTGCTTTGATATATTGAACAAGACAAATGAACATTTTGAAATTTCATGTATATATTTAATCGAATCTTCCAGTAAACAATAAATGATAAATGATAGTGATTAATAAGTGATAAATGGCCATGTATGCTGTGCATCAGCTTCAAAGCACGTCAAGTTCAGACTAACTAAAACCAAATCTCATTCTCACATTAAAAGAACTTCAATTGCTTTTAGAAATTGATTGGTAAGACAAAAATGTCATGGAGGCATATCCCTTCTTATTTTTTGGCCACCTGATCTATTACCAGCCTTGGATCACCCTGCATAAACTTTCAATGTTGCAACATGTTGGGGTTTTTTAGCCCAACAATTTCCAAAAAGGCTTTCAATTAAAATCCATGAGGAATTTTCTTGCATATTACATGTTTATCAAGTAAATGAAGATGAAAAGTAGTTGGACACAGCAATAATAAATACCAGACTTTACAGAGTTTAATTAAACTCTACTTAGCCTCTAGCTAATAGTGATTAGATAAATACAGAAAGGATGCCACTGAAGCAAGTGTTAACTCCTAGAGCTAGACTCTTAGAGGGCATGAAATTAGCCCAAATATATGAAAGCAGTGCTACTTAGCCTTTTTTTCAATCCAGGAACAAGAGGAAAAAACCCCATACCAAACTATCCAGTGCAATATTCTAACAGCTGCTTTCTTTCATAATCAAATAAATGAATCCTGAAAAGTTAGAGCAAGTTTTGCTGTACTTGTTGTTGTCCCCCTGCTCCATTACTTTCTGTCTGTGTGTAAAAGTGTTTGATTTCACAGCTCATTTTCTAGTATCTTACAGAAAATATAACTATAGGGGCAGGAACAGTGTATTGAAGAACAGTACTTAAAAGTTCTGCTAGCAGGAAATGAATCAATCATCAATACATGGAACATACCATCCCATTTCAGACTGGCTGTCAAAACCTCTGGAATTAACAGCAACTCATTGGTTAAGAAAATGGAGAGTCCCAACAGGAACAGATGGTAAATAAAAATTAAGGAAAAAGAAATGAACATGGTTTCTGATAGGGGATGGGAACCGAGCAGTAGAAATACTTGTGTTTACATATAGGATGCAGTCTTTTGTTCCATGTAGTGTAATTTTAGCTCCTTAACATTATTTCAGCAGGTTTACATGGCTTCCTTTTTTTTTTTTTTTAATAAAATGAGTACATTTTTTTGTACGAGGCCAAATGCTTACTAAGTTTCACTATTTTTACGGTATCATCTGATTATAGCAATTCTGTTTTCAGCCGCCACATATTGCTCCGCTTCTACAGATTTTTCAAGCAGAGTTCAGGTAAGAGTATTTTTATCTCTATCAGGATGTGAGCTAAAATATCCTAAGACCTGGAGGGTCTGGAGGGTCAGATTTTTCTATTCTGTCTCTTAGCTGCTATGCCATGGTCCATCCTACCTTCCCTATGCCAGCTCTCTGCCCTTGCGTCCTCCTCTCCCGTGTGGAGGAGGAGGAGGAATTGGCCGTGCCGGAGGAAGGAGGACCGGCCACTGGTTGGGCTGCCTTCTTCCTCCACCATAGCCCCGGCACCGGTGCCGTCGCAGCCCTGCACGAGCCAACGGCAGTGCCACCAGAGAGGTGTCCTGCAGCTCGCGCTACCTTCTCCGCTGTCACCGCCTGAAGTCGTGCCTGCCCGCCCGCTGCAGCCCCATCTCCCAGACACCACGGTAAGCCCAGGGAGAGCTGGGGAGGACTTGCTGCTGTCCCTGCACCTCTCCTTTAGCGCTGCCTTGCCTGTGATCTTACCCCCGCCAAAAGCAAACTAATTGCTCTTTCAGCAACGCGATAGCCAGGCCCACACCAGGCAGGTCTACGGAGCCCAAGAATCTGTTTGCTCAGAAACAAAGCATTTTTAAGCATCAGCTACTGATGACCTCTCAAAAAATGCTCACCGAAGTCCCCCTAGCAAAAGCTATGAGAAAGTCCAGCCCTGCTTTAGGTATTAGATGACTCAGGGGTATCTCCTGACTTGTGAGAATTTTAAAACAAAACAATTTTTCTGCAGACATAACCTTTTGAAATAATTTGCCTTCCTTTGTGCTGGGCTGTCCTCAGCTTCCTCTACATTTATGATGACAAGAATCTGGAAAAAGAAATTTGAATGGGCTTAAGGGTTAAAGCTGCAGTATTACAAATTTGCTTCTGTGTTTTACTTCTAGACCCTGTGTGCTTTTTAAGCATTTTAATATCGAAAGTGGTTATTTTCTTTTTACTTGAATGAGAGCTGGTCTTTAACCTGTAGTCACATACGATAAGCATCTCTCACCAACGCATCTTTCCACGTTTCAGAAGAGGCTGAGGTCAGGCAGCAGCACCTCTCTAGACAGCTCAGAGCCCCAGCACCCTGCTACAGCCGAGCAGCTGAAAGAATGTGGGTGCCAGTCTAGCTCAGTGTTTGCATAACGTTTTCTTCTTAACATCACATCTTAATTCAAAGATAAGTATTTCAGTAATTAGACCTTTTATGGAAGCACAAACCAAAATGTCTATTAACAGTATATGATCAGGCAGTGCTATAAACATTTGTGGGTTTTCGGGGGGCAGGGGAGGGGGTTGGGTTGTTTTTTGGGTGGGGTTTTTTTGGTTTTTTTTTTCTTTACAAGTACATAAGCTTGGATGAAGCCAAGTGAATACAATTTGCACGAACAAGGAAAACAATGCAGTAAGTGAGTATACACACACCTTTCCAAGTCTGGATGAAAATACGAGCCTAGCTGTAGAATGTGCATATAACATTGTTTGCAACCTTCTCCCTATCTGGAACTCATAATTTAAATAACTGCTAACTGGGCATGACTGTGCAGCACCTGCTCCTCCTCCTGCTGTTGTCATTACAAGAATGATCTTAAAATTCCTTCTGGTTTGCCTTATGCCAAAAATTTTCATAACAAAAAATAACCCTCAACAGTGTATCTGAAGAACATATTCTCACATCAACTGCAATAATACAACCTTTCCTTAATCCCAGTACTGATAAACTTGTAAGAATATTGGGATCATTGTAGTTGTACAATGTCACTGTAGTTCATTAACAGCAAAACAGCAATCATTGAAAAAGTATTTTTTATTTGAAGCTGTCTGGAAATATATACCTGTGATTAATGGGGGAGAAGAGAGCATGCTTGCTTAATGCTATATTTGTAATGATTATTAGGTACTATTAACTCTTTGGATTTAATGGAAGAGTAGCTCTTGGGGTTTCAGAACTTACTCAGATTCAGAAATTCTGTGTCTGTTTGAGCTGCAACAGAATCCATTAGTAACTGCATCATGCACTAAAACCATGACTTTTTTTTTTTTTTTTAATAACGATGGGTTAGGCAAGAAAGTAAATTGTGAAGAGTTTGGTTTGTTTTTTTTAATAATGTCATCTACTGGGAGATATGATTTTTGCAACTTCTTCTAGTTCATGCACCAGGTGATAGAGATGCCACACCAGCACACCGTCAACTGGAAATGTACATGGACAATTTACCCCAGGAAACAAACAAAAGTCCCTGTGGTTCTGGTTTGGAAGAAACAAAGGCTGGAAGTCCAACTGCAGCTGTCCCAATGCTACTGAGCAAAAACCCCTGTGATTAAAATGGCCTCGACCATTATCACACCCACTAATTTCAGGTGACACTTGTGAGGCAGGTTCATAACCTGGTTTCGAAGAGGGCCCGGTGTCAGCTCACCACCACAACCCTTCTGTCGCAGGCTCCCCTGGGCAGGGTTGGCTTTCTGTGAAGGAATCCACATTTCAGATGGCTACAATTAATAATCATTTCCCAGACTAAACAAAGGCCATTTTTATCAACAGAAGGTGAATAAAGGCCCCTTAGGTAGGAGGCATTATTCTTCATTGAGTGTTAAGTCAATCAAGCTGTTGACCCAATGGGATCACATATGCTTAAATTTAAGCAAATACTGAAGTGTTTTACTAGAGAGAGAGAGCAGTGTCTCATACTTTGCCAGATCCAGCTCTAAGTGAAAATTAACATTCTGCTCTAACCTTTGAGACAATTCACTTCCCATTCTGAAAACTGCACATATAGAAGACATCAGTTCTTACACAGTCATGCAGAAGTGGTAGTTATTTCCAGCCCTAGGAAAAAAATGCAGGAGATGTGCACAGCTGAAGTGCACTTCAGAAAACAAAATCTACTTAAATGTAATGACATTAGTGATCTTCTGCATTTCAAAAAAGTGAAACAAGGAGGTAAGATTTACTCTTGAAATTATTCTGATTTAAATTAAAGATTCATGAAGTTCAGTAATTAAGTGCTTAACAGAAATCTGATGTTGATAAAACGTTTGTTACATTTGCCACATGTATAAATTTGCTGTGATTGATGGCTTATTATTTTTCTGTGATTTCCCCTTTCTTCCCATTCACCCTAACCCTATTTCTTCTACTGCAGCAGCCATAGTTTTATTGTGCCTGTTATGATGCTTTGCTATCATTGAAGATATTTATTCAGTTGTTTGCATGAAAGGTAAAAAACAAAAATATAGAGGGTGTTGAGGGAAATATGTTAGTTCTACTATGGTCATATGCTAAAAAACTAATAGTAGTATGAAAAACAGAGCTTCTTGTTTATTAACATCCTGAATTTAACTACCATGTTCATAACGTGCTTTGAAAATATTTGGGGCAGTTTTTCTTAAAAACAAAACAAAACCAAAACAACCCCATCCTAACAGATTTAAGTAAGAAGCACAGTCTTGAAAAAAGAAGGAAAAAAAACCAAACCATGGTGATAGTTATTTGAAGGCATGGTGAAAATGAGGCAACGTTACAGAATTTGTAGTGGATGGAAAGGAGCGAGGAAGATGATGCAGCTGGCTTATGGCCATCCCACCAGTTGCTAGCTGAAGACCTTGCTGTTGGCCGAGGCCATTCAGCCTGTGTGATGGTTCCTCTGGTCCAAATGCTGCTGTGATGTCCCCAGTAGTGTTCTGGTTGTCACTTGGTGGGAGCTGCCAGAAACTCATCACATGAGTGAGATCCATGAAAGCCAGGCTCGTAGTTTCAGCTGCTGCCTCTGTCTCCTTGTGCACTGGGTACTTGTTATTATCCCCTACAGGCCCTGAGGAAGCTTCTTCCAGACTGATTTTGTGGAGAGACTGAGGTTCTGGTAATGGCAGGTCCTCAAGAAGATGCACATTGTAACCTTTAACATCCACTTTTATCGGTAGATTTTTGAGGGATCCTGCTGCAAATGAGGTAGAACTAGGGTCATATTTATTAGGCTGATGAAGGTTCAGGTTGGCAGGAACAGCTGTTGAGCATGGTGTGGGATGGACAGCTGGAAGGCTGTCTGCACAGCCCATCCTTTGCAAATGAGGAGAAGGTTCAAGAGGAGGAGCAGTTTGTAAGTTTGGCTGGGAATGAAGATGTGAACAGTTGTATTCCTCTGATTCTGAAGTATTCAAAATCCCATTCTGCACAGAAACCCTTTCAGGAAAAGGGGACAGTATGCTGGCATCTTCCTTCAGTCTGAATGGAAAAAGCTGGTCAAGGAGACCCACTGAGTCACCGTTCTGCAACCTGCTCTTCAGCAGTTCTTGTGGATGAGTCTTCCTAGTATGGCGAGTCAAGTGGTCCTTCCGCCCAAACCTCTGGGCACAAAACTGGCATAGAAAGTCTTTGCAGCCTGTGTGAACTACCATGTGACGCCGCACATCTTTACGGGTATAGAAATGACGCTCACAGTGATCACACTTATGTTTCTTTTCCTTGGTATTGCCAGTTGGTTTCCCTGCATGGCTTTTGAGGTGTTCCAATAAAACTTCAGTACCGCCAAACTCCTGGGCACATACCCTACAGGTAAGGTCCCCACTGGTGGCTGCATGAAGAGCCAAGTGCCTCTTATAGCCTAGCTTGGTGTTGTACTTCTTGCCACACTCTTCACACTTGAAGGCCATCTTGTTAGGGTCATGAGTCTGAAGGTGATTCTTTAGATGGTCTTTCCTATGAAAGGTCTTTTCACAGTAGCCACACTGGTGAGATTTCTGTGAAGAATGAGTGGCTGAGTGCCTAAGACAAAAAAAAAAAAAGTTACTCGCATTTACATTCACTCTAGTACAGAGTGCAGCTTCAAGACTTGAAAACACTGGCACTCTTGAAGGCAGGCATTTTCACAAGTTCTCAGGTTATTAGTAAAAGCTTAACTTTTTTGGGGGGGAGGTGTTAATCATAAAGCATACAGTAGGTTAAAACTGCTCAACATTATCTTTTTGAGTAGCCACTGCAACTGAGGGAGACTAGTTTTCTCCAATTCTACCAAAACGGGAATAATAAAAAGTGGAACTCGGGGATTAACTGTCAGTAGGACATCCCAAAGGAAAAAAATGTCCTTGGTTTTTTCCCCACACACCCACCAGAAAAGGAGTGCCTTCAGAGATGTACCTGAGCAGTTTATATTTGGAAATGAAGGCTTTTGTGCATCCGTGCTGTGAACACTTGTAGGGGCGCTCCCCTTTGTGGGCGTAAGTGTGGACTGTGAGCTTGTCAATGGAATCAAATATCTTCCCACAGAGTCGGCAAGGGTAACTGTCTGGCTGCTTCACTTCTCTTCCCTTCAACAGCGAAGACCGGCCGTTTCTCCATTTAGGTATAAACCTCACAAGAGCATCACAAGTGCTTCCTGAGCTGGCACAGCTAAGCTTTGCAGCAGAGGAACAGGAAATGGTCCCGAAGCACTGAGCAATGCTTTTGCCTAATGCCGCTCCTCTCAGTTTCCCTTTGAGTTTGCTTTTTGCTTTTACGGGTCCCAATTTATTTGGTGGTCTGAACCTGGTGGTAAGGACTCGGTCTTTAGGGATGCACTGGTGAGATTCCAGCAGAGCAAAAGTTGCAAAAGTGCTTCTACAGCTGGAGCATATCCAAGGGTCTACAGGCTCTTTCTGCAATGAGAACAGAAACAGGTCTTTCTTATTAGCCATTCTAAGGAAAGGTCATATTCTTCTCACTGACCCTACATCTTCTCCTGGGCTTTCCCAAGACCTGTCATTGTCCTTGGCATTATTTACTTCATTGTACTACCACACAGCTATTCAACTGGAAATGGATTCTCTCTAGGAGTCTACAAACACCAAGGGGGGGGGGGGAGGTTGGCTAAATACCTATTTCCATGTTTTTGTTTAGCATTTAGTGTAACAGTCCCGAGTCCTTCACCTTTTGTTTACCTGTGCTTACTGAATTTCAAAGTCTCTGCATTTGTTCCTTTTATGGAACTACTCATAAAAGCAGTTGCAAATCGTACTTCATCCTTAGAGTGACATAATTTATCTGCTATTGCAACTGTCCAAAAATTGGATGGGTTTCTGCACACAAATGTAGTTTAGCCATACAGGATTTCCCTATGTTTTGGGCTAACTCCATGCTTTACCACACAGCAATGGTCAATGCCTCCAGGAGAGGCTTCCTCACTTAGCTTGACATTTGGTATTTGACTTTCTTAAACTCGATAAGATACACCTTAGGTTTGGAGATCTCAAGCGTATCCTGACTTAGAGGCATTAAAACATTTTTTTGGCAAGCAATGCATTATTTGGAAGTATTATTTCTGTGGAAATAAGAGCTCTACTGGATTCAGTTGAATTCACTTTGAATATTGACATTCTAAAAATTCCAATGAAAAACAATTACACCCCCCCCCCCCCCCAGTCACTGATGAAATGTACTTCCAATTAATACATGGCCATATACTTCCTTAGGTGTCTCTACATTTTACCTAAGCTTCTCAAACTGTCCTTACTTTCCCTTGTTCTTGGGCTAGCTTGCTCTGGGGCGCATGGTAAGGCTATGTCCACTCTGTCTTTATCTACAGATGGAGCCCTCCTCTCTCTTCTCTGCGTCTGATGCTGTGGCTCTCCCACACTTTCTTTCTGGGGTATATTCTGAAGGCCTTATATGCAAAAGCAGCAATGGGGTTAATTCCCTTCCTGCAGCACCTCTGAATTCCTGGTTCATGTGTATTCCCTGTTTAACATTTCCTTTTAGCTTAGGTATCAATCCACATGGCCACGTTTGCAACACTTAACAGACGTTTCCTATCAGTTTAAGGATTCCTACTATCGTACAGAGGGGAAGGTACTGGGATTAGAAGAGAAGGGTTATTGCACAGGAAAGACTGAAATAACCAGTGCATTTTCTGACCAACCAGTCAGAGCATAAAAACGGGGAATTGATGAAAGAAGTCTGAGGCTGGACAGCTTGGTTAGCTACAAATTAACACCAATCTTAAGTCTTTCCAACACATCCCACCGGTGCCACTTCCTTCTGGCTACATCTAATGGCTCCATTGGATTACAAACACAGGGTAGGAAGGGCAGCCTTTCTCTGAGTAGCTGTTTGGTTAAAATTGCACTTGGCTTTGTGTCAGCCAACTACACTATGGTCCACCCTAGCATTACCAAAGTTATACAAACAGAGAAAGCACATAAATAAACCATTATTTACTATATCTGGTGATGGCTTGAATGCAGATCAGGGGTACTTACTTCTACTGGAGGCAAAGGACAGACATCAGATTCTTCTTTAATGAAGACTGTGGAAGCTTCCATAAATTTGGCATAATCGGCAGCATACCATACTTTCAATTCTGTGTGTGGTTCAATTGGCTGTGAATGGAAGAAAACAGCACATGTTTACTTGCGCCAATTTTCCAATACCAAATAATACTGAAGATTGGAGGGGTGGGGGTGTGCAATTTGTTGTCCCTACCCAAGTTGCATTCTTTGAATCTGTTTAAATTATTGGTAATTTAATTTCAAGATTCAAGCACTTTTTGAGCATGACTATCCACTAGGGTTTGACACTTTCTAAAAGCAGAAATGTGTATGTACAGAAATTTGGGGGGGGGGGGGGGGGGCCTGTAGCAGAAGGGGTGCCTCAGCCCTCATGATCTTTGCTCAGTGAGATGTATTTGTCTGTAATGTCCAGACATCCAGCAGTCTTTCCAAGCAATATTCCATGCTCATCCTTGATGTCTCAAAGCCCACTGGTCACAACACTTAACTATAGGGCACAGGCAAAGGAAAAATGCACAACAGCTTGGATGCTTCCTGGATATGTTGCACTCACTGAGCACGGGTGCAGAGTTGATCAATCTGTGGACTGCAAGTCAAATTTGCGTATTTCCATGCGCTGGCTCTAACGTGTCAGGCTCGCTATGCATGTGCTTTATCGTACCTCTGCCCTCCTTTCACTGAAGTCTTCCCACACAGGGCTAAGGGAGTCCATAATCTGCAGCCTCCCATCCAGTCATGCCTGCCCAAATCTTTCCTTGGACTGGACTATGACCTCCTCTGAGAAATACTTTCAGTCAATAATACAGCAAATAGAAAAAGAGAGAAGTGATTACACACACTGGCTAAAGATCTATTAGTTATTTAAAAGCAAAGGAGAAAACTAACTTTGGGGTCATGATTTATATGACTCCCTGGCCCTGTACACAATTTTCTTCATCTAAATAAAAAACAACATTGTTGCAACGGGGGTAGAGCCAATCTGCACTGTACTTGTAGTTTTAACTAAGCTAAACTCGTGCAACTGCAGAGAACTAGCCTGGAAGGAGAGCAGCTAAGTCTTATTCCACAAAATGCGACATCTTAAAATGCACTTATAACATCGGTGTTGGACAAGCATGGTAGATGAAAGACAACTTAGGTTGTGAATGCTGACAGGTGACAGGTAATTGTGTGTATAATGTCGAAAACTGAACTTTTGAACTCCCAAGCACAAGCCTGCTTGCTAACCACAACCAGTATGGGTTGGTTGTATGTTTTGATAACACCTGGCCTAAACAGAAATGGTATGTGCTGAATTCTCCGCTCAATACAGGACATGAGGCAGAGCCACCAACTAGGAGGCCGATCATGCATTGTGCTCCTGCATATAGTCTATTTAGATGGAGAAAACCAAGCCTGGGGGAGCTCCACAGAGACAAATGTCTGGGGATGCCTCGGGACCTTGACCAGTGACACCTGAGACTGGTACCCACCGACAGCCACACAGCACGATACTGTCATGACTTTCTGCCTGACATTCCTGGACCAGCGGCAATCTCCTCTGTGGGAAGCTGAGACCTAGTCAATGTGACTTTGGAGGGAGAGCAAGTGCATCAGTGCGTCAAACAGTCAAGTAAGGTAAAAGCTCTCATCTCTCATCTCAGTAAAACTGAGATTAAACACCAGTATCCAAATGCACTACAAGTTGTTGATTTAGTCTGTCTCACCTGTGACAGTAAGAGAAAGCTATGGCAGCACTCACGTGAAACTCTCCTGTGATCAGACACCAACCGTGGACAATTTTTACTTCCTCATAATTCTATTCTTTTTGGGACTGCAGTCATTAGGTCAGCAAGTATGCTAACGGTGCTGTTGGTGTGCCACTTACATGTATGCTTTTGTAGCTGCAGTTTTATGTCACTGAAATCCCATCTCTTTGTAAAAACAGTGGGGAGAGGAGCCAATCTTTCTACTCCCAACTTAACAGACTTTATTCAAAATATCTTGAGAAAATATCTTCATAATGAGGCCTAAGGCAGCCTCACGCCATGACCAGCAGGGTGTGCCTAAGTGTAGCAAAAGGCTATCACTTTTGCTGACCAGGACAAAATCTGCAGGATGCCACAGTACCATGAATGATACTGGGATTTAGCAGAAACAAACCCAAAGTAATTCCCTATGATACACAGCACAGTAAAGGTTCCAAGACACATTCATCATCCTAAGATACTCTTCATGTCAGTATATAGGATGCAACTCTCCATTAATGCCAATGAGCAGAGTTCTGCTGAAGTCAGCAGAGAGCTGGTTCAATAGTATTTAAATTATACTGGAAATTTTAAGTTACCAGTTCATAACTACAACTTCTTAGAAGAGCATTTGTTCATGCTTCCCAAATATAGTATTATTAA